AAAATATGTTTGAGTGCCAAGCTAACAATTCGAGGACATACTGTACATAGATAAAAAAAACGAACCAAAAACAAACACGAATAAGTTTGAAAAATACACTCAAATTGTGGGTTTGTGTGAGTTCCGGAGAATCAGGCAAACTAGTTTTAAAGTCTGAAAAAATATTTTTCAAAATTTTAATAATAAATCAAAGTTTCAAAAAATGTACCATGTTGATTTACTAATTCAAGAAATGCCCAAAAGCAAACATTTGTAATTCCTAGTTTCCTGATTGTCCCTAAAAGCACACAAATCAATAATCTTTCATAAAAAACAAAACAAAATAGTCCATTGGAAATTTGATTTTTGACTTAAAACATGCTGAAACATGTACATAAAATACGTTTAAAAAAACACAGCAGAAAAACAAAAGCAAACAATTTTTTAACCAAGTCTAAAGTAAGGCTAAAACGGAGACAAACATAGAACCAATTTTTGAGGAATATCAGCGCGGAAAAGCCCCCTCCCCAAAATATCCTTTCCAAAATGTACATTTCCACACAAACACAACGTACACACTTTTTGATACGCTAAAGTCAAGTTAAAGAATATGATATCTACACACTTATATATATATATATAGTTATATATAAAGTAAACAAATAGCAGGACATTGGAAACCTAAAAGAAAGCTTCAAAAGTTGTAAACAATTTTTTTCGGTATAAGCTCAATACACGTACACACAGAAAGAGGAACTCACACATATACAGAGAGGCGAAGGAAGCGGAAAATTTAGGCTGAACCAGCGAGGAAAATTGTTAATACTAGCTTGTGGGGCTTATTTTATATTTGTCGAAATGAGGGAAAGCTAAACAATTTTTTGGAAATTAGCGAGGAAATGAAACACAAGAGAAAACCAAAAGAAAACGTCAGAAAGGTAAAAAGGAAAGAGAGAAAAAACAACACTGTAGTGCCTACTCCCCTTTAAAACAAAACAACAAAAAAAAACGAATAAAAATAAAATAAAAATCGAAAACCAAAAAAAAATATATATATACAATACATATATACATTATACATACTAAAGTAATATTTTATAAAAATGCGCAGAGCAAAAACCTAAAAAAAAAGACAAAAAAAAAAAAAACAACAAGGAAGTCAAAAATGGAAATTGCAGTTTTTTTGATAGTTATTTTTTTAGCGAGCAATGGGAGGCATTGAGATCTATATATACATATATATATAACTAAATATACATACACACCTATACATTAGTATATCTCACACACAGACAACCACACCTACATTTATACAAAAAGTACTTACGGCATGTAAAAAAGAAATTAGTTTCTAACGAACGACGGAAAAAAGGAAAAACTATTAGAAAACTGCAAGCAAATTTGCGAATTTTAGGCAGTTAGCTATACTACACTCCACACACACACACTCACACACACAAAATCACACACTCAACCAAATCGAGAAACAAAGTAGAAACAACAACAAAGTAGTTTTGCATATCCCAAAAAAAATAAAAAGAGAGAAAAGGTTCGGAATGATGATAAATGAAAGGAAAAGCCACACAAAACACAGACACACAAGAAACCAATTTATCAAAAAATTATACTAGTTTTTAGTAATGAAAGAGAATAATACTATTTTCACAGAAGGAAAACACCACAAACAATGTAAACATATTGAATAAATTAAAAACCCAAAAAGAAAAAAGCATATTTTCGACATAAGCGATATGAAAGAAATACATTTTTAACCTTCCTCCATAATTTTTCAAGAATATGGAAAAAAAAAAACAGATTAATCATTTACAGAGTAGTTGTTTTCGTTTTAATTGATCTTGAATTGAGAATTCAAGCCAAGCATCCAAAATATTTATATGAAATATAATACAAAATAGCAGCACACACGAAGAAGGACTGTTGAAAAATGGGTAGCAAAATAATAGTTTTAGTAAACGACGGTTGAGAAAATTTTTGTAAGTTCCCTATTGAGGCTCATTCATAAATAATTTTACAAATATGTTTTAAAACTTATTATTTGTTTGTTTGTAGACTTTTTTTAAAATATTTTCTCTTAAGTTATTGAACCTAAATCAATAAAAGCTAGGGAAAACAGCTCGAGTTCAAGGCATTCCAAAGGGGATTTCCCCCCCCGAAAAAAATCTGGGATTAATGAGCTGTTTTCCCTAATGCAAAGGAACTGCCTAATATGAGGGTTAATAAACAGAGTAAGGCGGTTAAAAAACCACAGAAAAGAATATGAAATTCACAACAAACCGAAATCCGAAGAAAAGTTTAAACAATAAACAATAACCGAATTAAGAGGATGAACAAATAGCTGCAATACGTTATGATTACGTCAATATGTTCCTACAATATAGACATACAAGATACATAAATAATTTATATAAATATATATTCTTAACTAACTGTAAACACACCACACAGAAAAACCAACAAAAAAAGAGAATGCGATGGAAGAATTATACAATAATTAATTTAAGGCCAAGGCCGAAAAAATTCACTAAGAGCAGCAGCGACTAACTAACTAAAAACTAAATCTTAAATAATCACCCGCTTAAGTTTTATTAAACATTTTTCATTAACCTTATCCTAAGTTAAGCAATTTCCCATTATTTATTGAGCGAGCGTAAACTTAAAATGACTCTAAAATAATGCAAATTATATATTTACACATATATAGAACTATAAACTGCAATTTAAGTTCCAATCGATACAATTTAGTTTTCATTTATTTTTTTTATAATTCGTAATAAGATTTTGATATTTTGTGGCTAATAAAAAGCAAATGATAGAAACCAACAAAAGCGAAATAAAAATATATAAAAACCATTTCACTCTCATGTACATTCCTTATCGTTTTACACACACTTAGCACCCATACCAACACACCCGAGCTGGAACTATATAACATATAGTTCCATACAGTACTTTGTACTCTATATGCAAGAGAGCTTGATGGGAACTCAACAGATATATATGGAAAATACCCAAAAAAAAAAAAAAAAACCAAAACAAAACAAAATAATTATTACTAAAGAAAACAAAACGGAAGGTTAAAAATATACGCTAACTATATATTTTTTTCGTAGTCGAAATGAGAACTAAAAAAACCAAAAGCACTGAGCAAAAATAATTACTTACAAGAACTCTCCACTCAATTTTCGACTCGACTCATTTTTCGAGTTGACCCAATGCTGAATAATAACTAAAAAACTCGAGAACTAAAAACTAAAGAGAGCAGCTTATCAGGCACCAAACAAAAAGTAAGCAAGTAATAAAAAAGAAAACAAATAGACGCAATCAAGAAAAATATTTTAGAACGAAATGGAATTCAATTACTTACACACAGGCAAACCGAAAAACATATTTTAGGCAAACCAAAACCAAAAAAAGAAAAGAAAAATTAACAACCACATTCACACACAGAACAACAAATTTATATGAAAATTATTACAGACATAAATGATGAAGGGAAAATATAAGAAAAATATTTAAGCAAAGCAAGGCATATCATAGTTTATAACAAAAAACCAAAACACAAACAAATATGAAGAATGCTAACAAAAAGCCAGGCAAAGAAGATTCTACAAGTTTCCAGAGAGCAGCCTCCAATTCAGATTTGATTTCTATCCGCAAGTCCCGAAACCCCAAAATTTTCCCCAAAACCCCAAAAAAGAATGTCAACAAAAATGAAAGGCTAACGAGAGGGAATCAAGACAGCAAGCTAAAACTAGAAAGAAAAAGAAAACAAATGAAAATGGAAATGAAAATGAAAATAAAATGCAGAACAAGAAAAACCTATAGGATCAGCAGAAGGATCAGTCATATATAGCTAGCTATATAGTCTGTAGTCTATGCCTAACAACATTTTAGTAGTCGAGCGAATGAAAAGATAAAAGATAAAAATAAATTGAGAAATTGAGAACTTGAGAACTTGTTCAAACACGCGACTCTTACACACTCTTACACACAAAACAAGCAGAGTAATGAATAAAAACAAAGAATGAAAGATGCAGCTGGAGAAGCTAAAAAATGGAAAACAAACAAAGAAGAGATGAAGAAAATGAAATAAAATTCTATATAAATAAAAATATTGAAAAATATTTGACACATCTCGAGTTTTTATTAAAGAACGTGGCTCAGCCATGGATATAATTAATATAATAAATAATAGTGGCATTAAAAAAAAACGTACAATATTTCAATGCACTCTTTTGGAAATTGTAAAGCACTATTTTTTCGTTGGTGTTTATTTTTTCCTATACTAATATCAATGAAAGTTTAACAAATATTAACATTTTGCCATTATTTATTATATGTTACCACACGGAAATAAATTTTATTTCGTTTTGATTTGAACTCTAATTTATTAGTTTTCAATAATTTTGAAAGTAAGAAATCTTAAGAGTTCTTTTTATTTTAAAGAGTATTTTAAAGAAAAGTTGTTTAAGATTTCTAGTGTTTAGTTATAAGAAATCTTTCGCCCCCAAAATGTACTCATGACCGACAATTAATAGCCGTCACGTAAGTATATTTATCCATTACTCCTGCAGCTTCTTCCCCATTTTTCTCTATCGACTTTTCGTTTCGACTTTTCCGTACTTTCATTTGCCATATCTGCCAGATAGTTTGTCCATATCTAGATGTCTTTTTGTGTGAGCTTTTAAGTGTTTGCTTGCCTTGTATTCAGTTGCCTTGCATGAGTTGGAAATGTAGCATAGCCCCAAAAACCCCGTCCAGGATATAGAATTCCATACCCGAGACTAGAGGCATTCCCCCCGGCAGTCTAGCAGTCCCTCCTCACTTCAATTTAGAACTAAGGCCATCTTATTTGAGCCCCTCTGACCTCTGACCCACAAAAAAAAAGAATGAAATGAAAAAACAGAAATAAAGCAGATCGGAACGAGGCACTGCACACCAAAACATCGATCGCAGTACCGCCAGAACCCCACTGAATATCCCCATTTCTGATCCCACAGCTGCTCCGCAACTTCAGCTCACCGATGAGCGCGATGGCCGCCAGTCGCTGCCCAACCCCCTTCGCCTTCCCCTTCTCGCCCCTCGGCCTCAGCCTCTTCGACATCGATCCGTCCAGAATTCTCAGCATACTGCACCACCAGACCTGGCTGGCGGAGGAGGCCCTCAGGTGAGTGACCCTTGACCCCTAAATAAAGGCAAAGGGATCTATGGTCGGCAGACCGAAGTTCACATACCCCTTAAGTTTGAATTAAATAAAATCAAAAATACATGCTCATATAAATATTTTAAAATAAAGTAGGTTATAGGGTAACTAAACTAAATTTAGGGGTATGCTAATTTAAAATCATAGTTTAACTGCACAAGTTAGAATGTTTAGAAATAGCAGAACAGAAAAATACAGATTTTCAAAGAATTAAACCACAAACTATAAAATGTGAACTTAAAGTGGAAGCAATGTTTTTCATTACTAACATTAAAATTGTAATACAAAATATTAGATAATTAAACCACAAACTTTTAAAGGCACATTACCATAAGAGCTGGAATTAATGGACCAAGTTATGGGCTCTATAAGTTATGGGTCAACTTTTGTGATCTATCGTACGATATAGATTAAATATAGCTTCAATTGAAAACTATTAAGTAAACTGCATAGAAACTAAAACCTATTAAATAGTTTTGATAATAACTATATTGTTAACAGTACAATTAGTCTTTGAAAATGTCCTTAACATTTTTATAAAATTTGACGAGCAGGAAAAAACCTAATTTTGTATTGAAGCACTTGCAAGAATAAGAATATAATCTTTAGATTACACACTAATTATCACCTCAACAATCAGTTGATACAGTGTTCATATAGACTTAAAAATAGGAAATTGACTGGGATCCCTTGAAATAGTTCCAAAATACAGTACTTATTTCAACAATTTGAATGCCCGCAGGACACGCGGTCTGCTGGCGGCGCCCAAGGACTTTCCGCACCGCTTCACGACCCTCAGCGATCTGCTGACCAAGGATTACCAGGCGGGCCAGTCGATGGCCACGGCGACGGCCACGGCGACCACCGCCTCCGCCTCCTCCTCCTCCGGCTCCTCCTCCTCCGCGGCGGCGACGGGTCAGAACAGTGCCGGTCGCTCCGGCGACATCCAGTACAAACACACACAGCAACCGCAGCAACCTCAGGCGGCGAACGCGACGGCGACCTTTAACCTGCGCTATCCCACGGCCACGCCCACCGCCTTCTACCAGCAGCAGCAGGGCAAGGGCGCCAAATCCTCGCCCTCGCCCCAGCAAATGGCCACCAGCTCCACCACCATCACGGCGCTGTCCAACGATTCCGGCGAGGAGAGCTGCAAGCGGAGCTCGGCGGACAGCGACGAGGTGACCATCGTGGAGCTGCCCAGCGAGAGGAGTGCCCAGCTGTACAAGGAGTCGCTGGAGCAGCTCCTGCAGCGCCAGCGTCGCACACCGGGACTCTCGGGATCGGTGTCGGTATCGGGATCTGGATCCGGATCGGGATCGGGTTCGCTATCGGGAGCGGGCAGCGTCATCGTGGACGCCGCCGGCCTGAGGCAGTACACCCAACTGTTGCTGGCCGGAGCGGCCGGAAGTGGTGGCTCCGACCTGAAGGAGAAGAGCTCCTCCTCGTCCACCTCATCCACGCCACCGCTGCTCACCCAGCAGCTCAGCCAGATGCTGAAGAGTCCCTCGGACACCTGCTCCTCGCTGTTCAGCTCCTCGGGCGGTGGCAACTCGGCATCGGGATCGGGATCGGGTGTCCAGCTGGTGGGCGGCGGCGGCGGCAGCGGAGTGACCGGTGGCGAGACCATCGAGGAGGAGACCCGCTGCGTCGTCTGCAACGCCCACTTCCCGAACGTCTGGCTGCTGGAGCAGCACGCCGCCCTCCAGCATCCCCATGTCGGACCCGGCGAGGAGAAGCCCTTCATCTGCGAGCAGTGCGGCCAGTCGTACCGCTACCGCAGTGCCTATGCCAAGCACAAGGAGCAGAACCACCGCGCCCGCCTCCCCGCCGACAAGCTCTTCACCTGCGACGTCTGCGGGATGCAGTTCCGCTACCTCAAGAGCTTCAAGAAGCACCGCCTCAACCACGCCCTCGAGCGTCTCCATGGCAAGAAGAGTGTGGGCGTGGGCGTGGGTGTGGGTGTGGGTGTGGGCATGGTCGGGCGAATGGGCAGTGCAGGATCATCGGGGCTATCCGTGTCGGTGGCGGCGCCCACCTCGGGATCGGTGACCTCGGTGGACCAGGATGTGGTGACCAGTTCGCAGGAACCAATGCTGGCCGACGAGGGCGAGGACCTGCGGGTGAATGTGAAGAGGGAGGGCGCCGCCGAGGAGCACTCGGCCGAATCTCGGGCCAACGACAGCGAGGAGCACGAGCAGGACAACACCGTCGACTCGGCGGGCATCACGATGCTCTACCAGGACAACAACTCCTCGGCCTCGGCCTCCACCAGCGCCACCGAGCCGAACATCAGCAGCTCCGATGGCATTCATAGTACAAACAAGCGGGTGAGTCCTTCGAACTAAGTCCTTAAGGATTCCAAAACAGGCAAAAACAATTGGTTCGAGTTCAAGAAATCTATATAGTTCAGGAAGGTTTCTTTATTGCACCTGATTGGTGGTTTCTTTTAATAGCATATTTAAATAATACATAATTGGTACTTACTTTTAACAACTTTAATTATTTTATTCATAGAAATTGAAAATGAATCAAAACCATTATAGCTGGGGAAATAATTTGAAATTATAAAAATATTTTTAGTTAAATGGATATTTTGAAATCAAAGTTTCTCCATCCGCTAGTCTAAATAATTGTCTGGGATCTATTCAAAAAACATGTTCAGCTAATATTTTATATTAGGAAATACTGGATTTTAAAAATAAGATTCCGAAAAAACAATCACACTATTTCATTCTCAGTAATGAAATAAATGGGAAGCAGCTATATTATGAATGACAATTGCCCTTTCTTGCAGTCGCGCCTGCACCACTTGGAAACGGATCCCTCCTACGCACACCACCAGCACCACCACCACCACCACCATCACCACCAGCAGCAGCAGCATGCGCACCACAATGCGACCCACCTGGGCCACGTCTCACTGCCACTGGTGGCCACCTCGGCCGCCGGCTCCTCCTCCTCGGCGGCAGCCGCTGCCGCCGTTGCCGCGGCCACCGCTGCCGTCGCCCAGGCGCAGGTCAACTCCGGCGGTGGCGCCACCGGAAGCGGTGCGGCCGGAAGCGGCGGCGGTGGAGCGGGCGGCTCAGCCGCCGGCGGCGGTGGCATCAGTTCGCTCAGCTCGCTCACCTCGCTGATCAACGCCGAACGCATTCCGAACGAGCAGTTCCTGGGACTGAATCCCCAGGAGGCCTCCATACTCAACTTCTTGCGCGTCGATGCCGCCGAGCGACAGAGGGACAAGCGGTGAGTCCTTAAGAAATCATTGGTATTAGGTGAAGAGATTATGGGCCCACACTGCGGATGAGTAATTTTTATTTTAATTGACTATGTAGTAACACCATAAAACAAGACATGGTTTGATAAATTGGTTTATATGACACATTAATTACAAATATTTGCTTGTATCTAAATAATTATTAAAATAATTATAAGATAAAAAGTTTAACAGTCGTAATTTTACGTATACGTCATTTTGCGTATACGTAATTTTGGGTATACGTAATGTTGGGTATACGTAATTTTGTGTATACGTAATATTGCGTATACGTAGTTTTGCGTATACGTCATTTTATTTTATAATTTCAATCTATGTATGATACAATTGATATTTCCAATTGATTGACGTAACCAAAAGAATATTTACAGAACTTATAAAAAGCTGTAGTAAATTATTAAAAAACAGTGTGGCCTTTAGTAAATGTACTCGTTTCACAAGCAATGCTTATCTACACATGCCATAAAATCATTTAAAATTCTTTAACTAATGAGCTGCATTAATCCGATTCCAGGCCGGCCACCTCGCGATTCGCGTGCCCCTTCTGCGGCAAGTGCGTGCGCTCCAAGGAGAACCTGAAGCTGCACGTGCGCAAACACACCGGCGAGCGGCCCTTCGTGTGCCTCTTCTGCGGCAGGGCCTTCGGTGGCAAGTCCGACCTGACCCGCCACCTGAGGATCCACACCGGCGAGCGGCCCTACCACTGCGAGTCCTGCGGCAAGTGCTTCGCGCGGGCCGACTACCTGTCGAAGCACCTGACCACCCACATCCACAATGCGCCGCGCTGAGATGAGGCGCGTAGGAGGCGGCTCCTACGCAGATAAGGAACCAGCTCCAGGATCAGCCTCTGAAAACCACACACACACACCATACACACACACACACACACACACCATACACTATACACCATACAGAATACAGAATACAGGAAGCGTAGAATGAAGCCTATGTATAAATCCTATTATTACCAAAAGCTCTACGATTAGATCGATGTAAAAATTCAATCGCAGGAGTTACAATTTTTTTTTTTTTTCTTGTGGTGCAAACTAGAGAAAAACAAAATTACGGGCAACTAATTAGCACGGGTATTAAAGTGTTTAAGATTCTGAATATACACCTATCTCCCTAAATATAAATATATATATATATATGTGTGAGTAAGGATTACGATTATAATTACGAATTATAATTATCGTAGCACAAGATTACGTTTTTCTACAACTATGATTAAGTGCAGATAGATGGGAACGAAATGCGATTTGGTTCTGTGAAACAACTTATTTCTCTAACACATTTAACGAAAACAGCCACAAACTTTGCAATAGCAATAAACAAAATAGTCTGTATTTTCTACCGAAACAAAGAAGGGGGATATATGTACCACACACATTGTACCGCAGATCTGCCGTTGATATACACAATAGATAAAATATATTTAATTTTACACCGATCTATAGAAGCTAAACTAGCAACAATTTGTACAAAACAAGAAAAACAAAACAAACAACAAGCGAGAGGAAACTAACTTTGCAAGAATCAATGCAATAACTGAACAAACTCTGTTACCTACCACAGAAAACAATAAGCTAATTGGGATTTTAGTTAATCGTTGTGCAGCAACTGTACTGAAACTAAGCCAACCACTAAATGTAAAAGAATGTTTTAAACGATGCAAGCATTATTTATTCTTCGGTTGACCGATCTACATACAAATATGTTCAGGAGGGAGTCGAAGTTGGTTAATAGGATTATTGTAAAGCTAGGAGATACTAATGGGATCTACCACCGTCAATAGTTTAATTTATATACAAAGCAAAGCGAAGCAAGGCAAATCAAAACTAGAAACAAACATAGCAACAATTAACAATTACCAATAGCAATTACAATTAAAACTGCAACTACAACAACACAAAACTAACTGTGATCACAACAAGAAAACAACATTGAAGTTTTAACTAACCTACAAACAAGCTGAACAGGCAAGAATAGTTTATAGCGATGGCAACCATGGCAAACAATAGAGAATTTGGGCGGTGCTGGCAACTCTGGTGGCGGCACCGTCCGTCCGCTGGAAACGAAATGTGCAATTAAACAATAAAAACAATAAAATAGGGAGAGCCCATAGGTCAGAAATGATTTCTCAACAGATATTTGCTTCATTTAACTCAGTTCAACAGACACAGAAAAAGGGAGAATAATAAAAAAGAAAATGTAAAATGGAGAAAACCAAAACCTTGAACCAAGAACATCGAATTAAAGTGTAAATGAAAATCCAAAAAGCGAAAAAGCGAAACAACTTGATACATAAAAGAAAAAAAAGGGGGGATGAACAGTTTTTTGTATTAACTAAATGTCTAACGCACTAAGGAGAATATTTGCCGTACCAAAAAGTGGAATGTAAAACAAAATAATAAAACGAGAACAAATCAAAGTAAAGTGGTAGAAGTAAAGTAAATGAAAACTTTCACTGTGCCAAAAAGTTTCAAGTACCTCATAATTTAACTAAATATTAAAGAGAAGCAACTAACCACACCGAAAACAGCCCACACAATCCACACGCAGTCCACACGCCCACACACACACGATCCACGATCCACAATTCCCACAAATATCCCGTAACGAAATGAGTCTAGACAGGAAATGTCAAAGCGTATAATTACATAGAAGCTGAAAGCTGAAAGCGAAGCGTTAACTAATCCTAATTTACCAACCGGAGAGGGCTAGAAAATAGTTAGTTAGATAGAGATAGGGCTAGCGATGTAGGAACAGAGACAGAGAGAGATGGCGATAGCTATAGCGAGGGAGAAAGAGAAAGAGGAGGAGATACGGGGGAGTCAGCGCATGGGGAGATCTACCATCCACCGGGGATCCACATATACAGTGTGATCCGATCCCCGACTTTCGATCGATTATTTTTGTAATTTATTTATTCTTGAGCAACACAGTTCTGCCCACAATTTCTCTCCAAACTCCAAACTTAAGTGTTCAATTGTAGCGAATATATATATTTGCCTTGGAATATATATGCATACATATGTTATGTGATAGTTTAACAAATTTACTGCACCCCTTCTAAAAGCCAACATATTTTGCCTAGCCACACTATGTTTATTGTAAGGAAAAGACAACCAATTATTATTTTCTTGATGCGTAAGTTTTTTTTCAATTTCGATTGTGTCAGTATGTAAAACCGTCAAAGATCAGGGCCTCTAGCAAATGTTATAGATTTAGTTCATTATTATTATTAATCTGATGTGAATTTTTTGAATGCAACTTATTATAGTTTTACTCTCTTTCGGTTCTCGATTTCTCTTTTAATTTCTATTTATTTTCTAACAACACGCTACTGCAACAACAACAAACAAAAATCAACACTGCCTTTTGTAAAACACAAAAACCAGCAAATATAATGCAAAATTTTGTAATCTTACTATTTTAAGTTACTCTTTTTTTACCATACCTTTTAATTTTGTATGTAAAACATCACAAATGCAGAAATCTTTTTTGAGAAACTATGTTCGATTTTTTATTTTTTCAAGCTCTAAATTAAGTCTTTAAGCACAACAACAACAAGCTGTGAGCTGTGTATGTGAATTAATTATTTGTATGAATATTATTACAGTTATGGCACTCTTAATTATTATCAATTTTTTTGGAAACACTTATTATTTTGGAATTATTATTTGATAGTATTTATTAATAAAGTTTTTTGCAATGAACACTCCTTTGTTTGACCATCTCGGACACATCCGTCGATCTGAAACCATCCGTCGATTTTCACCCCTTGGTTAACCCATTATTTTTTATGTTTCTAGTTGAAAATGCGCCTTAAAAGAATTTTAGGAAACTAAGGTAAGAAAAGTGGTGAAGCTAAACAAAAAGTTGTCATTATTACAACATTTCGGTAAGATACAGCAAGATTAAAGTAATTAAGGAACCCAAAAAGAAAAGCAATATTAACAAAATTAAAGAAAAACCTAAAATTAAAGTAATTTTTTCTTAGGTGTGTGTGCAAGTAAATGTTGATAACAAAACAAAAAAAAACCAAATAAAAACTATAAAAACCATAAAATAATCACCATCAAAATTAAGGCGAAATTAAATTGAATAGGAGTACTGGAATTTTTTTGTGAATGTGCTGAGCGCGGAGGAGCAAAATTGATTTTAAGCCAAAAATTGGAGGGATTCAAGACTCTTATTTCGTATATACATACATATACCTATATTACAAATTTACCACGTAGGCAGTTTTTTTAAGGCATTGACAACATGCAGGAAAATACGTGTAACAGAAAATTACATTACAAAATCCAACAACGAAAACTTTTGGCATTAACAATTAATGCATTTTTAAATACAATATTTATTGATATACCTAGATTTAAAGCCCAGCAACAACATCCAGGCGGAAGCGAAAGTAAAAATCCAAATAAGGCGGAAACGGAGAAATAAAAACAAAGGAATCCAAATATTATACATAGAATATATCTATATACAGATACATAAATGTACACGTGGTTTTCGGTGTCTATTACTTATATAAATAGATATATATACATTATATACATACATCATATTATACACATGACGTGCATATTTTGAAACAAAAACAAGAACCCACAAAAGCCCAAAAAAAGAAATATAAATGTTGTTCATTTGACTAATATGCGAAAGCAACTCAACCAAACAAAAATATATACTAGCATATATAAAAACTAAAGGTATTCCACTCCCACACGTACACTCTCCACCAGGGACACCCAATATTAGGACATTTGGATTTTAGATTTAACTAAAACTCACTAAACTACTTTTGGTTTCGATCGCGTGAAGTTCACAAACTGTTTTATTTGGTATAATGTTTATCTTGCCGATATTCTTAGCAAAATTAAATTAGAAAACTCCTACTATTCAAAGCTTTTGTATTAATCTATTTACCCCTCATCAGTCACTTGAGCTTGGGTGTCCCCAAATCATTTAGCAAATACATCAAAGTTTTAATGTAATAATACAATTTAACAAAATAAAACTACGATTTCATGAAATTAAGACAATTTCAAGGTTTCACTTGCAAAAAAAAAAAGAAAAGGCATAACAATATAACAATGTTCTATATTGTTGTCAAAATCATTTTAATCAGTTTTGGTTACACTTTGATTTAGTATTGAGCAAAGTCAAAATAAAAGAGAATTGCGTTATAAAGAAAAACAATTTTAACTTGTCTAAAACCAAATAAATTGTTAACAGCAACTAACTCATGTATGTAAATACATTAAATGGATACCATCTCAAAAAAAACCAACAAAATATACAAAAAACAAAGACGAATGCGAAAAAGGAAAATGAAAAATGGAAAACAAAAGCAGAAGCATAATAAACATAAAATGTAGTACATGCAATATATTTTTCGGTGTTAGGCGTCTTTTTGAGATTTTTACAGAATACCAAACAAAAGTCCCTCAAAAACAAAATCTATAAAGTAAAATATTTCATTGTTGATGTTGTGAGCAAACTAAAGTAAACTAAAGCAAACTAAAGTAAATTGTATTTATTTATCCTACTCTCTCAACAGTCTCTCTCACCTAAGCTCTAAACTTTAGCTGTCGTGTCTCTTTAAATATTTATAGGGGTTTACATAAGTCTTAGGAGACGCGGAAACAAAGGAAAATGTTTCAAAATTTTTTTTTTTTTATATACATAAACAAGAAATTTGGTGTCTACACAATATACGAAGTTTAAGATGCAACTAAGGAAAACATTTTTAGATCAAATTCAAGTGGTTAAACGAAGAGATGAATGCGGAGATGAAAAGCTGGAGTTGCAATTCGAAAATAGGCGGAAATACTTAGCAATAATTCTGAAATGACCTCAATCAAATATTTTTTAAATTTTATATATTTTAGTCGTGCAAAATGGAAAACCTAAATGTGTAAATAAAACTTTAAATACATACAAATCGAAATAGCAAAATAAACAAAATGTAAAACAAAAACACATAAAAAATGTCTCTCGAACGAACGAAGAAAGAATGTGATATTTTTCTAAGGTGTACTACAAAACAAAATGAAGAAAACAAATGAGAAAACAAAAATCAAAAATGCAAAAATTCTAATAAAATATTTAACACTTTTACTGAGAACCAGAAATAGAGCAAGCCCACATAAAATAGAACAAATTGCAATAGAGACTGATTTTTGACATCATCTCATCGACATCACCACCAATAAAAAACACGAGCATTGTCATTAGATCAGTGAGTGAAGAAAACCCAAAGAACTTTCACTGCAGTTACATTTTTAAATAGAAAACACTGTAAAAATGGGTGGGTTAAATTCGGAAAACTATTACGAGTGATTTGGAATCTCTTGATTCGTTTGATTTCAAGTTGATTGAAATCGTCTGAAAGAGTTGTCTAAAAGTAGGAAAGCAAGGATATATTTTAACGTTTATTTACGGCGATATGCGAAGAATTTTATAGTTAGTTTTAGGCACCTCTTTTTGGGTAACTTCAAATCGTCGGAGATTTTAAATCGTCAGAAATTAGATCGCGAATTGCTGGATTTTGGTATTTATTTCCCGAACTAAGAATCCCTGTTTTACTTGTCGGTTTAACCTTCATTGAGTTATTCGATTGCACAGCGGGTGAGGGAAATCGAGAGAGAGTGTGGGAAAATATGGATGTGAAAGGTATGGAATTAATGGAACCAATTCGGGACGCATCGCGTCAAGGTTAAGGTTTACAGGTGGGACTTAGAAGCAATGTTAGTTTAGGAGTGGCAAGGTGGGTGTGGCAAGTTGGGTGCATTCGCACAAAGTTGTAATTATTTTTGTGATAAAATCCGAAGCGCAATTTTTTTCTCCAACTGTATGGAAGGTTAGAGGTCTGTACATAGGCGGGGCTAAGAGGGGTCGATGGGCTGGAGGGGGATGTGAGTCAGTATGGGGTCAGGCTGGATGAGAGTATGTTTATGAAGGTGCTACGAACAAAGACGTAATTGAAAATGTGATACAGTTTTTTCCTTAACCTATTTATTGAACGGTACGCAGAGCAGGGGATACGAACGGAAGCGGAAGTGGAAATGGAGGCGGAAACGGAAACGGAAATGGAGCGGCAAACGGAAGTGAGAGCGGCAGGAGCTTAGCAATATGCTTAACAAGCAAACAGATTTTTATTCAACATTTTGATGGTTTTAAGGGAAATATTAACGAAAAGTGTAGTGAGTTTTTCTTTTGGTTCTTTTCAACCTTCCTTCGTTGACACAGGAAAATGAGACACCACAAAACAAAACAAAAAAAAAAAAAAAACAACCGCAACCACAACAAAAAC